TCATAGGGCAATATGTGTACTAACTGTTTAATGAGAAACTATTTGTTCTGCAAACCTACATCTAAGGTACCAAAAAAAAAAAAAATTATCTATGTGAGATCAAATTGACACAGCAACTCAAAAGGTTTGATGGGAAGCCTAGGGGACAGAGAGTTGAAGATAACGGTGATGGAACAATTTGGAAAAGGACAGCGAGAATAGCAGCACAGCTGGAAGAATGTAATCAATGCCACTGAATTGTACATGTAGAAACTTATGAAATGGTGTAACTTTGGCACCAAAAAAAAAAAAAGGTCCTCAATGTCGAGAAGGGAGAATGCTGCCACGTCGTGCGGTTCTTAACCAGTGTCGTAAAACAATATGTGTACTGACTATTTAATGAGAAACTATTTGTTCTGTAAACCTTCATCTAAAGTACAATTAAAAAAAAAAAGTAACTAGCTTAAACAAATTAGTGGAATTTACACTGGTCCTGAGATTTTATAATTATGAATTATTTTACTTAGTAAATAATTACAAATTACATAAAAAGGATTTCAGAGAATTACCTTGTATTTCATTTGGTGACGTACAATTCTGAAACTTGATTTCTAAGGATTTAATTAAAACTAAGGTTGCTGCTCTAAGGATCACGTGATCTGGTTCAGAGTTACTTTCACATCCAGGCTGAATGTCATCGCCTCCAAAGCGGGAAGGTTTTCCACGAACAGACAATGTCCTCAACCACCCTAAACTCACAGCTTGCAAAACAGCGTTGGCTACAGCCAGCATGTCCTCATCTAAAAGATGATCTGGTGGCCTTAAGACAGGAACACATCCACGAAAGAGGTCTTCACCCACTTTACAGAGAAAGCACTTTTTAACGAATACAATGAACTTCCTTTTGACGAAAGCTGGAGTAGGCCAGGTAAGAACATCTAGCATACAAGAAGGTTTCAAAAAGAAAATCCTCTGGCAAGTGAAATGTAACTTCAGGTAGACTCTGGAGGCTATAAGAAGTTCAAGCAACTCCAGGAAACACATCAAGCTGTTTATTATTTTAGAAGTTTCTTGGCAGTTTTCAAAACGCTGAGAAAATAAGGAATTGTAAAATACTTCAAAAGTAGTATTAAAAGGAGTCAGGAACTGCTTTAGAATTTCTGCAATTATAAAAATAGTAATTATAAACAACAAGGAAAACAAGGGCTTCTAAGACACACTTTTACAATTCAATTTTTAGAAATATTAATCAGTTTACAAGATGAAATCATAGATTTGGATTACCTCTAAAGTGAACAAATAAGGTTACAAAGATTAACTGCTAATAGCCACCATTATCATCAATTTCACAAATATAAATAGCATCAAACTATGCAAGGAATAATAGTAATGAAAAACTTCAATTTTTTCCCTTATAATTTTTTTCTTTAAAAGGTATGTATTCGCAATCAAAAAAACATGGGGAGAGATTCTTTAGTTTTTCATACGTCAAAACAGATCAGATGTTGTAAACTAAGTCCTGATATTCATTACAAATATAATGCTCCTTGGGAGCAGGATAATGGCAATCATTTATAGAAAAACAAATAATTCCTACCTGTTTTTTCTGAACATGTATCTTTAAAGATTTCTTTTATTACAACTGCAAGAGTCCAGAGGCAGTATACTACCTTATCACTCTCAGAGTATTCAGAAAGATTTTTTTGGCAAAAAGTAATCCAGGAATTGCTTAATGTTACCTACGAGTGAGAAAATAAAGGTAGTGAGTTGTGATACAATATTTTCTTTACAATTACAAATTAGCTATTATGCACAACACAACTCTATAAAACACTGCATACTACTTACGAAAAAAAAGTTATGGTGCTATTTGGTAAAACAAGAAGGAATAGAAATATATTCTGTAAGTCAAGGAATTCAAGATGCCAAAGAAATGAAGGCCCAGAAGGAAACATGAAAATATTAGCAGTGCTCATTTCTAGGTACAGCCAGTCCCCGGGTTACAACTGATAGCTGTTCCTAAGTCTGTCTTTAAGTTGAATTTGTAGGTAAGTTGGAACAGGTACATACAGTTCTTGTTTAGCATCACTCATATGTTTGTCTCTATATACAGCATATATTTTACCTTTCTATGCATATAAAGGAGCCCTGGTGGTGTAGTGGTTAAGAGCTTGGCTGCTAACCAAAAGGTCAGCAGTTCAAATCCACCAGCTGCTCCTTGGAAACCCTATGGGGCAGTTCTATTCTGTCCTACAAGGTCACTATGAGTCGGAATCGACTCAACAGCAATGGATTTGGATTTTAGCCATATAAAACACTTAAGAAACACTTCCAAACACTGCAATGCTTTCATGAACATCACAAAGTAATATGTGCGTTCGTTGCTATGAACCACTGTATTTAACTCACATTCTTAATAGACTTTGTGACAGTCCGTTCTTAAGTACCAGTTGTCTGTAAGTCAGACGTTCGTAACCCAAGGACTGCCTGTAGCGGAATGATGTATAATTTCTATTTTATTCTTTATACTTTTCTCCATTTTCCACCATGACTATCACCTTTCATATACAGAAAAAAATGTTATTTTAGAAAGAAATAAATAATTATAGCTGAAAGAAGATGCATAGATTTGATTATTAACTAATTCAGAGGTAAGAGAAAAACCTAATGCTGAGTTTGTTTGTATCATTTTTATTATGCTGAAGACCATTCTTAGAATTTACTTCTATTAAATCTGTGAAAATGATCTTGGTCTCAAGAAGAGGTCCTAAACCTTTTTTTTGGAGCGGGGGTGGTGGTGCGGAGGGATAGGGAAAGGGGGCCTACCTAGTCTTTGAGAATCTGAGGCAAGTTCTGGAACCTCTGATCTTAAGACATGCACTGATCCCCTAAAACCCATCCCTCAGGTTAAGAATCTGATATAATGACTTTTAATGTATTTAAGATTCCAACCCTTGACACAAGCCACTATCATATTATTCCATTTTCCCACTTTATGGATTTACATGTGTATTACATGAGCAAAACATTCTATTAATACAAATATTTGAAGGATAACATCAAATGATAAAGAGCAATTTTAAATAAACTATAAGGAAAATAATAATATAATTTCATTAATTAACTCACCTTTTCCCTCAGCTGGAAATACAGAAGCAATGCAAGACACTCTGCAGCCATGTGAGATAACAATTTATCCGAATTTTGGAACATACAGATCTGTAGAAAAGCAAGTATTTAATAACTACTGGTAAATGTTTTTCAAACTTTTATTTAAAAAATTTAAATCTTTTAAAAAACCAAATGGCTTACTAATTTAGAATCCACCTCAGATGATCTTAAGAGAATTTTAATCACAACTCTGTATTTCTCCTTTGCATGGAACTCAGTTTCAGTAGACAATATTCTGGTGATCATCACTTTGATCACTGTTAACTGAAGCAGTGTTATTTCTCGGGTACTGCTCATCCAAGAGGATGTCTTCAAACACACTGGTGCTACAGAAATGGCAGCCAAATTGACAGAGCATGGTTGATGAGTATCCTGGGAACCTTGGGTGTTTGACCACTCTAAGGAGGTCACTGTAGAGAAATCTTGGTCTGGAAATGTTGGGTTGAGATAAAAGATGTAATCATGACTGTCATTTTCAAGTGAAGCTCCAAGAAGTACCTTCTTGTATAACTGTTCTAAAACTTCACAGAAAGCTTTCATTTTGATTTCAAAAATGTATCATATAAGAACATTGGGAATACGATGACTTTCTAAGATGTGTCTTCAGTAAAACCTGAAATAGGAAAAAAATTTTTTAAACTTTGTTATTCATCAGTTACAAAGAACAGTGACTGTTCCACTCTATCACTAAGTCTCTCAAGTTAAAAGTATTGCTCATGGCTTAATTTCTAAGATGGAAAATTTGTAACATCATTTTTTTTTTAATGACATTTTATTGTTGTCCTTTAAGTGGAAGTTTACAATTCAAGTTAGTCTCTCATACAAAAATTTATACATATATTGTTATGGGACCCTAGTTGTTCTCCCTATACTGTGACATCACACTCCTCCTTTCCACCCTGGATTTCCCATGTCCATCCAACCAGCTCTTGACCCTCTCTGCCTTCTCATCTCGCTTCTGGGCGGGAGCTGCCCATTTAGTCTCATGTATCTACTTGAGCTAAGAAGCACACTCTTCACGAGTATCACTTTATGTCCCATAGTCCAGTCTAATCTTTGTCTGAAGAGTTGGCCTCAGGAATGGTTTTAGTTTTGGGCTAACAGAGAGTCTGCGGGCCATGTCTTCAGGGGTCCCTCCAGTATCAGTCAAACCATTAAGTCTGGTCTTTTTACTAGAATTTGAGTTCTGCACCCCACTTTTCTCCTGCTCCATCAGGGACTCTCTGTTGTGTTCTCTGTCAGGGCAGTCATTGGTGGTAGCCAGGCACCATCTAGTTCCTCTGGTCTCAAGTTGATGAAGTCTCTGTTTTATGTGGCCCTTTCTGTCTCTTGGGCTAATACTTTCCTTATGTCTTTGGTGTTCTTCATTCTCCCTTACTCCAGGTGGTTGGGACCAACTGATGCATCTTAGATGGCCACTTACAAGCTTTTAAGACCCCAGATGCCACTCACCAAAGTGGGATACAGAACATTTTCTTAATAAACTTTGTTATGCCAAGTGACCTAGATGTCCCCTGAAACCATGGTCCCCAGACCCCCACCCCTGCTATTCTGTCCCTAGAAGAAAAATATGGAATGCTTCAGGAATTTGTGTGTCATCCTTGCACAGGGGCCATGCTAATCTTCTCTGTATTGTTCCAATTTTAGTATTTGTGCTGCCGAAGCAAGCACAAGAACATCATTTTTAAGATCATAAAAGTGGAATGTATGCCTTCTATACTAATTTAAGAACATACAATTATTTTTAATTTTCTCATACCAGAAACTTCAGCTTTCATCTAACATCTTTCCACAGGCTCTCAAGAGTTTTTCAGCCTTGGCACTATTAGCATTTTGGGCCAGATAATCCTTTGTTGTGGGGGCCTGCCCTGTGCACAGTAGGATGTTTAGCAGCATTACTGGCCTCTACCCACTAAATGGAGGCAGTGATAATTCAGTGGTAGAATGCTAGCCTTGGGACTCAGATTCAATTCCCAGCCAATGAATCCTATGGGCAGCCACCACCCATCTGTCAGTGCAGGCTTGCATGTGGCTATGATGCTGAACAGGTTTCAGTGGAGCTTCTAGACTAAGACGAACCAGGAAGAAAAGCCTGGGATCTACTTCAAAAATCAGCCAATCAAAACCCTGGTCAAAATCCTATTGTTATGATTTAGGAGATAATATTGGAGCCATTATTCCCTGTCCTAAAATGTGACCCAGCTGGAGCTGGACTCGTAAGGACTCACAAGGATACATCAACTGGGCCCTGAGGTATAAAAACAACAGCTAGGACAATCTTGGAAAACATCTTTCAGGGAACTTTTCATATAAGCCAATAAAACAGCACGAAAGACCCATATACTTTCCACTCTTATATTTTTCTACTAGCATTTAGCAAATAGTAAGATTTGTTGGACCAATGAAGACCCTCCCGACTGTCGTTACTGAAACCTGTACCAATGATTGTTAAGAAAGACAATTCAAAATGTAGAATCATGGTGACTTAACAGTTTTTAGCCAATGTGTGAAAAGGTGAAGCTTTCAATGGTCTTGCCCATTTTGTAATGTTGATATATACCGGTCATTCTGTAATGTTCCTCGGACTCGGGCAGACATAGCTCTAGCTGCATGCTTGTCTGTTTTCCCATTATTGCTTATTCCGTAATATTCCTTGGACTCAGACAGACATGGCTGTGGCAGAATGCTTGTCCTTTTCCAACTTTTGCCTTTTTGAATATATGACACATACAACTTTCTTTTCGCTTTACTAAACTTTGCTATGTTTTTACCCAAGAACAGTTATGAGACCGAAAGTATAAACTTTAAATTGTATAATTATATTCTTCTTATTGCTGATTAATTTCCAATTTAAAATCATGTAACAGGAAGAACCCTTGGTAATCACTTATAACATTAAAGAAAAACTTTAAGAATGCCATCCTAAGAAAAAAGACATTAGGCAAAAGCAATCCAAACATTTGCAAAATGCACTTCCTGTTAGGTGCCATGGAGTCAGTTGTACTTGTAGTTAGATGCAAATTTAGATACTCTGGTAGTTGTGGACGCTGACAAGGAGCAGGGAAAAGGAAAAGGACATTTTGGGTCAGACATGGTTTTTAAAGCAGAGAAGGAGGGCAATTAGCTAATCAGTATCAGAGGAAGGATGCAGTTACCACAGAGGAAGCATGGTAAAGAATAAGCAAAAGACATTACTGGATATACCTTTCCAAGGAATGCTGCAGCCTCTGGGAATTATCTGATCTTCAAGGATTCCCCCCCCCCCCCCGTTTTGGGCTATTTTACACTTCTGTAAACTGTAGATAACTGACAGCAATGCAAGTAACTCTTGTCTATAGACACACAAATAAATTGTCTGGTGGGGGAAGACCTTCCCCCCAACCCCCAGGCCACTTTTGTCTCCATTTGTAAATTAATTTCAACATTCCTTTGCTCCACATAATTTGGTGTTTCTATTCTCCTTTGAAAGGGCTGTGACACCTGCCTATCCTGCCATTAATCAATGAGTTAAATAAAATCTTTGCTATGTGTTCATTTTATATGGGTCATGATTTTGTCCTTTTAAAGTTTATCCTTTAACAAAATCCAGACTTCCTTTTTGTACCTCAACTCATTTATAACATCAGTACTCACAGGAAGAGAGAGCAGAGGGCGATCGCTTCATTTGTACAATTACGGCCCACTGACCAAGCCTTGATCTTTAATTTTTCTCCCCACTGGCTTCCTCCTTCCTTTAGCTTCTAAGGAATTTCAACTGCTGATTACCCACTACAAGACAAACTGCCCGTCTTAGGCTTGTTGAAGAGGAAAATTCATAACAGACATGTCACTTTATTTTAAGGATTTTTTTACCCACACAACACAACCAAATGTTAATCTAAAAAACTTGACTCAAAAACTGCAGAGGCGCTGGTTTTCACCAGAAGCTGCTCTAAAGCAAAGTAAATTTGTCTTTTCCTGCTAGAAAAGAACAGTCACAACAAAACCATTACCACCTGACTTAATGAAAAAGACTGTTGTTGTTAGGTGCCATCCAGTCGGTTCCAACTCATACCAATCCTATGTACAACAGAACAAAACACTGCCTGGTCCTGCGCCATCCTCACAATTCTTGCTATGTTAGAGTCCATTGTTGCAGCCACTGTGTCAATCCATCTCTTTGGGGGTCTTCTTTTTCACTGACCCTCTACTAAACTTGATGTCCTTCTCCACTGACTGGTCCCTCCTGATAACACGTCCAAAGTACAGGAGACAAAGTCTCGCTATCCTTGTTTCTAAGGAGCATTCTGACTGTACTTCTTCCAAGACAGATTTGTTCATTCTTCTATCAATCTATGGTACATTCAATATTCTTCACCAACACCATAATTCAAATGCATCAATTCTTCTTTGGTCTTCCTTATTCACTGTCCAGCTTTCATACTCATATGAGGAGACTGAAAATACCGTGGCTTGGGTCAGGCACACTTTAGTCATCTTTGCTTTTTAACACTTTAAAGAGGTCTTTTGCAGCAGATTTGCCCAATGCAGTATGTCATTTAATTTCTTGATTGCTGCTTCCATGGGTGTTGATTGTGGATTCAAGTAAAATGAAATCCTTGACAACTTCAATATTTTCTCATTTATCATGATGTTGTTTATTGGTCTGGTTGTGAGGATTTTTTTTTTTTTTTTTTT